TTCCCTGGGAAACCCCTCTGCTCAGGTCAGAAGACTGAGAGCAGGGAGCCCAGAGGAAAGACTGCTTGACCACTCCTTTTGCCCAGGTTTGATTTGGCTGTTTCTGTTTAGTGATTAAGGATGAGGAGGAGTGAGAACGCAAAGTTACCCAGGGAAAAAGAAGGGCCAAAGATATAGAAGAAAAACATGTTAGAGGCTGACACCCAGGAGAAGGCCTATGGGGAGAAGGATGACTGAAAAAAAAGGCACTGGGGCTGGAGCACCCTGGCTTCACCATTCTCGTTCCTCACTTCCCCTGTTCTGGAAAAGGACTCCACAGCTCTGAGAAAGAGATGGAGGAACAGAATCCAAGGAAAAGAGATGAATCAGTTCCCCAGAATTCTGTATGAGGCAGAGGCTTTCTGTTTGTTTTTTGTTTTGTTCTGTTTTGGCAAGGAAGACGCAAATGCAGCACTTTGCTTATTTCGGACGGGTGCTGTGAGCAGTGGGGGGTCGTGACTGGACCACTCCCTGAGGATGGTGATGGTGACTGTGTGTGGCCTCCATTGGAGACACTAAGGAGGGAAAAAAAAAAGCTTTATTTGACACATGAATGCATAATTGGAGCATTGAGTGGATTTGAACTTTAACACAGCTGCTAATCCACAGCATACACACCACGCTGGTACCGTTTAGAAACACAGCACGTCTTATGTGTTTTTAATATCCAATTTTATCTTTTCTGACCTCTTCATTTTTCATCCTTGGCAGACAATACCAAGAAACCTTTTCCTCCTGCAGTAAGGAAACAGCTGTGTGTTTGGACTGTTTGGGGGAGAGTGGTGTGCGTGAGAGTGGGTACATGTGGGCCATGGGGTATGCATGCTCGTGTGTATATGCCCAGGGAGGGGCTGGCTTCTTCATGGATGCATGTAAGCACAGGCTTTGGGTGGACCTCCTAAAGCTCACAGCAGCACCAGGCAAGAAGGGCAGGGGGCACATGACATACCTCCCCTAGGCCAGAGACCTGGCTGCTTAAACGGAGCTTTGTTCTGCCATTCTGTTTAGTGCACCCCCCTTTCCACCATGGAATCAAATGAAGGCTACTTTTAATTTGGCTCCCATTCATCTTTCATCTTTCCAAACCTAGTCCCATTCTGATTTCTTATTTGCTGCCGATCTTGCATTCCTATCCGCCCTCTGTTCTCTGGACCTTGTGTTAAAGGAGCACACCTTCCCTACCATACTTTTCACACACCTCTCACTTTAGTGAGCCCTAGTAGAAAACAAAACAAAACAAAACAAAAAACACTGAATTGGGAACCAGGAGCCAGGAGCCAGGAGCCAGGGGCTGCTGCTAATTAGCTCATAAGTATGGGCAAATGTCTCTTCTTCCCTTGGGCCTTGATTTCCTCTTCTGTTAAATGAGGGGATTGTACAGGTTGATTTGAAAGGTCCTTTCTGGCCCCTCGGTTCTCAGCCTTTCTTCACAAGGGTTTTCAATGGTTTGAACTGCTTCAAGATGTCCACTCTGTAATGGCATTTTGGTTACCCATTGTCCCTTATGGTCTAAGTGCTTTTGTGGACAAGTGCTGTGGATTTTAAAACACTTCCAGTAGTGCCCAGAATACACGGTGAGTGCCCCATTCACAAGACGAATATATCTTGTTGATGTGTTGGTTCAATAACAGTTCAAATTATTAATAACAAAGAGTAATGAATAACAACGCCTTAGTCCTTACATATTGTCTTTTGCCCAAAGATATCAAAGTGCAATTTATGAAAATCCATTTTTAATGAAATATTAAGCAGTTTCTATTTCTCCTGACCCAATGGATTTACAAGGTCTCTATTTTTCTCCCTGCATCTCCCCTATTTATAGCTGGTAAATGCTATCATATATTATACATCTTTATGACTTTCTCAATGCTTCTGTGGTTTTAGAATCACCCTTCATATGTTTTCTGATCAAATTCCCTGAGATGAATTCTTGGCTTCCAGTCCAGGCAATGCAAGGTAAGGGGATGTGTGCGTGGGAAACGATGCCAGGAAATTGGTTTTCTTCCTTATTCCCTGCCGACTCACTGAATCACTATAGGCAAATCAATAAACCGTAGATACCTTAGTTTCTCCTTCAGAAAAATGAAGTCGGTAACAGGCTTGCAGATAGACACTACAGTTTACCAGCCCTCTTGGATGGCTGCAATGTCCCGCCCCCAGGATAGGTGTCAGAATGGAAGCCAAGTCACAAGTGGCAAATGAGTCTCTGGACAATTAGGAGAGTTCAAGTTCTCAAAGCACTGATTTCAAAATCCCCCCTGGCTCCCCAAATTTTCACGCCATGACTTTGCAGTGAGGTGTCCACAATGCTAAGAACAACCAGTGGATTGCCTGTGTCTGTTATACTCAGATAGGCACATATCAAATACAATGATCAAATTTTAACATCTGATTTAAGAGCTGGTGTCACAGAGGTTGTACATTTTTATTAATTTTAAAATAAAAATCTTTATATATATGCTTTACCATAATAGAAAACCAGAAGTATGTTCAAGGTGACCCTGGCTTTGAGGGCATATTGTTGAATATGTTGTAATTATTTTTAAAAATACACAGCCAGGTGTGGTGGCTCACCCCTGTAATCCCAGACTCGAGAGGCTGAGGAAGGAGGATTGTGAGCTTAAAGTTAGTCTAGGCAACATAGTAAGACACTATCTCTAAAAATTGTGTGTATGTGTGTGTGTGTGTGTGTGTGTGTGTGTTTAAAAAGAGCTATGTTCACATTAGCAGGTGGCATGTTGGTTTAGGCACTGGGCTCTGGTTTGAGTCTCAGACCCTGCATTTGGGTTTGTGTTGCGTATGTGTGGGTGCCCAAAATCCTGTGAGGAGAGTGGAGGCGAAAGGATGGCAGTGTGGCCCTCTCCATTGGGGGGGGAGGTGTGTGTTGATTTCTCACTTTCTCTCTGTCTTTATTTGCTCTGTCTCTCTCTCTCTCTGTAGTT